GTTCTGCTGGGGCGGGGGGTGGGGGGGGTAGCAGAGGTTGGCGATGTCGGAAGCCAAAGGCTTGGCCTCCCCGAGGGAGCCGCTTTCCCGGCCCGGGTCGGATCAATGGGCTGTAATTATACCGCGCCGGGCCCGGAGCCGGCGGGAAGGGAGCGGGAGCTGGCAGGAGCCGGGCGGCGGGCGGGGGAGCGCGGGTCGCAGAGGACCCACGTTACTTTGATTGACAGCCCGGGAGGCGCCGCGCGGGCGCTTCTGGGAATCGTAGTCTTTCCGAGAAAGCCGCCCGCCTCGCCGCCCGGGCTTGCGCTCCGGGAAAGCGAAGTACTGGGACTGGCCACCCCACCCCTCGACCGTGCCCAGGCCCACCCCTCGCCCCACGGACTGGAAGCCACACTGCGCGGTTCTCGGAGCCTCGCTCCTCCCCGGGAAGCCCGGCACGGCGACGCTCGGTTTCCCCGTCAGCGAAACAGGGCGGCGGGCACGTAGGCCGCCCCCCGGCTGGCCGGGCAGGGGCGTGCGCTGGGCATGATTTCAAGGGGAGACCCGCCACGCCTAGGGGGGAGCTCGCTCGCTTCTCCCGGTTCTGGGCTGATCGTACCCCGCCCCCCTAAGCCTGGCCGGGACCAGGCATCCACGAGGGGCGCAGCTCCGCTCGGGAAGCGGGAGCACACGCGCCGCACCCCGCCGGGAGCGCCCCGCCGCCTTCCGATTGGCCAGCCCCATCCTGGTGCCCGCTGCCATTGGCTGCCGAGCCCTCGCTCCCCATTGGGCAGGGCCTGCTGTGGCGTCACGGACCCATGTGGGAGCGCCGCGGACCGATTGGCTGGCGAGGCCGACCAACCACCGCGGAGAAAGGAATTTCCACAGTAGCTGGGGCGGCGGGGCTGATTTAAGGTGGTCTGAGCAATCCGGGGTCCCAGCGCTGCTTCTCAGCTTAAAAACAACAACAAAAACAAAACCCACATCCACATCATAAAAGCTGGAACCTTCTGAAGAGCAGGAGAGGAGGGCGCGAAAGCTCGCCCCTTCCCTCGCTCTGCAGCTTCTATCATGACTTTTGCAGATGGGGAAACTGAGACCGAGCCTCGAGGCGGGGCGTCCCACAGCAGACGTCGCGGGGCGACCCCCCCCTCCTCCTCGCCGCGCGAAGTTTGGGGAGACCGCCCTGGCTGACTTTCTCTGCCTCCTGCTCTGGCCGGATGTGGCATTTCAGCGAGTTGCGGAGTAATAAACTGTCTAGGAACCCCCCACCTCACCGTCTGCCCTCAGTTGAGCCGCCCCAAATCCCAAAAGCTGCTCCCCAACCCAGGGTCGCTGCAGTTCAGGGCAAAATACCTCCTTCCTGGCAGATCACACACGGGGAGAGAGGGCCTGTGGTGTGTGTGGCCTTGTGGCTTCTCAGGCAATCCACAACCTGTATTTACCCTCCCCTGTGGAATGTGCCTGACTGAGGGATCAAAACTCTGGTGGGTAAAGTTCCCTCCTCCAGGAAGCCTCCTCTGCGTGCACCAGGCTTAACCCCAGTGCCGAAGCTGGGACCCTTCAGCCCTGGGCACTCCCTCTGTCCTAGTATTTGTGGGTAGGCCAGGGAGTCTGTGCACTGTCCCTGTCTTTCCCCCTCACGTCCTGGGAACCCACCCTGCCTCGTCTGTCCCCCCTGAAAGACTTGGGTGCTCTCTAGGGCCCTAGCATCTTCCAGTATGAGGAGGTGGTTCTAGAATAAATATCCACTTCTACACCAACATTAGGCAGCCTGGGTTCCTTGTGTGTGTGAAGGGGAAGGCTGGGGGAGATGCCATTTGGCCATTTGGTGGAGATGCCTGGAGACTGTGCTTTTGGGGCTGGGGCTGGGCCTGGGCTTTCTCCAGGCAAAAAGGAATGGGAGGGAATCCCAGGAAGAGATAACATCGGGAGGCAAAGACTCAGAGGTGGGAAAGAATTCAGATTAGGTAATGTGGCTTTGTGGCTGCTACAGAATTGGGAATTTGTCCCGAGGGTAATAGGGAGCCTCAGGAGGGTTTTAAGTGAAGGAGAGTCCGATTCAAATGAAAGGTCAAAAGAGTGAAGGCTGCTTAGAGGAGGGAGGTGGCTCGAGATCCAAATGGGAGAGGATGAAGGGCTAGTGGAAGGGGGTAGAGGGTGGGAAACAGGGTGCTTCGCAGGTGAAAGGGAGGGAAGAGGCTGATGCTCTCTGTCTTGGGGATCAGGGTGGATTGTGGAGCCTGACAAGGTGATGAACAGGTTTGGGGGAAGATCCTGAGTCTAGTGGCCTGAGGGACTTCAGGGGTGATGCCCAGTTGGTGGCCACACTCACAGGACTGGGTTTTAGGGTAGGGATGGGGTGAAGCCAGCTTGGAGCCACCCTCATGAAGCCTCAAGAAGAGGTGGTGACTCTGAGCTCGGGGAGTCAGAGATGCAGGCCAAGGTGACATTTAGGTGATAAGGCAAAGTGAAGAGAGCAGTTCTCAGAGAGGAAGCAGGCCACCTCAAGGGCGCCTGGGGACAAGGGGCAGGAAAGGCCACTGTGGACAGAACGGAGAGATGAGGGTCAAATAGGGCCCTCACACTTGAGGAGGTTGAGGGCTTTTGGCAAGAGAAGTCCCAAGAGAAGTTACAGCTTGGGAAGGAGTAGGGGAGGGGGGTGTCACCATTTGGACTTGGGTTCTAGGCAGGGGAGATGTTGTCTTCCTAGGGGAGAAGGACACCTCTTAGAAAAGACCCCCAATGGGCCTCCCCTGGTGGCGCAGCAGTTGAGCGCTGCACTGCGAGCCTGCCCGCAGCCTCTGCAGTGCCGGTTAGTTCCCTGGCCTCCTGCAAGGGTCCCACAAAAAAAAAAAAAGACAAGACCCCCAAGAAACTAGAATCTTGGCATTGTGGAATTGTGGAACTCCTTGTTGCTTAGGACTTTGCAGTAGGAGTGTGGCTTCTGGCTCTAACTGCATCTGCTGTTTCTTCTCACCCGCTGTATATTCATTTATTGAGCACTTACTGTGTGCCAGGCTCTGCAGGGACCAAGGCAGACTACCCTTACGCAGGCTGGTGAGGGACACAAATAAGAAAACAGAATAACCTACAGACACACAAACAGTGATAGGAGCGGGAAGGAGAAAGAATAGGATATGGTGTTTGCCAATAACTGGGGGAGGGGTGGGGGACAAGTTGTGTCCTTTAAACAGGTGACCTGAGGGGTCTTCCTGAGGAAGGGAGCTGAGGCCTGAATGATGAGAAGCCAGGGAAGAGCCGGCCAGCACGTGCAAAGGCCCTGTGACTGGATGGGGTGTTGGAGGAACGGCAGGAGGCTGGTTTGGCTGGAGCTGAGAGAGTCAGGGTAAGTGAGGGGAGGTTGGGATCCGGAAGGGAGGGTGGGTGGGATGTGTACAAGGCTTTTGGCAAGAGGGAGAACTTGGGTTGTATTTTGATGGCAATAGGGAACCATGGATCACCCCCTTCAACCTCCCTCCCTCAGGATCTCTTTCCTCCATCTTCCTGTGGCTCCCTACCTTAATCCTTCAGATTTCTTCTCCAGTGTTAACATAAACCTCTCTCAGACATCCCAGATAAATAGGTTTCCTCTTGTTAATCTCTAATAATGCTCCCTAAACTCTTACTTTACACACAAATAATTCCATGACCGCTAAGTTGTGGTCTTACCTTGTACCCTCCCACAACCCCCCCCTTCCAAAGGCAGAGGAGGCAGGGGTCTCTTCTCCTCCATCTGCCCTTGTATTCCTGGTTCTGGAAGCATTCCTGCCATAGAGTAGATGCTCAGTCAGTACCTGTTCTGAAAAATAATGCCTTAAGCTTGATGAGACTTTTGCACCCTTTCCATCACTCACCTGCTGACACAGGCACACAGACATTAACACAGGGCAAAGCCTTTTTTGTTTTGTCCCCTGCTGGGCGCTGATGCCTAGACAGTGGCTGTTCCACAGTGGGCTCTCAGTGCCAGTTTGTTGATTGACTTAACAATCTTGAGGTTTCTCATATGCAATAGGAAATAAAAAGGTTCCACCTCCCAGGTGAGTGTGAAGAATGCTCACCCACACCCAGGACCCATGGGGATGGGGTCCTGCCCTCACCGAGACCTCAGCCTGGGGGCTGCATTCCCTTCCCATGCTCAGTGGAGGGACTTCTGTCTTCTCTGAGCCAATAGTCTAGGAGAGGGGACAGCCCAGTCTGCTGGTGATGGCAGTGGGGCCGCCATCCCCATCTCCGGAAGTTTACTCTGTGCCAGGCCGGGTGGGTGCTGTTTGCATACCTGTACCTTCACATTTAAAAATTGCCTTTGCCATTTTTACATGAGAAAACGGAGGCACAGAGGGGCTGGGGGCTGGCTCTGCCCTCCCAGCTCCCCCTTCTCTCCGGGTGGTGGTCTCAGGTGGGTGCTGTACCCCCTCTTCCCTTTCCCCTGGCGCACAGGCTTCCCGGCCAGCTCGAGGAGGCCGCGTCCTCCAGCTCCTCTGGGCTTGGCTAAAGCTATTTCTGACCCCCAAGTGCCCGACTCCCCGCCAAGCGACTCCCCGCGGCGGGCAGCGAGGTATTTATTTGTTTCCCGGCTTCTCGCGTCCCTTCCCCGGGAGGGGGGGTGGGGGCGACGTTGGGGGCTGCACGCGCGCCCCGGGTCCCGGCGGGCGCGGGCGCAGGGAGGGCGCGGGCCCCGCGGCCCCAGCCCCCGACGTCGCGGGCCGCGGGGAGGGGCGCACGTGGGGGTGGGCGGGCCGTGGGGGGGCGGCGGCGCCACCTTAAGGCCGCTCTGCCCGCGGCTCCCGGCCGAGCCCCGCCGGAGGGAGGCGGCTCCGCGCGGGGCCCGCCGCCCGCCCGCGCCGCCGAGCCCCGGCCGCTGCTCGCGCGACCTTCCGCGCCGCGCCCCCCGCCCGCGCCCCGGCTCGGAGGAGGGGACCCCGGTGCCCCGGCCCGGTCCCCGCCACCCGGCGCGCGCGCGCACTGGGGGGGCGGGGACTCCCGGGGCCCCCACCCCACGCCCCAATCTTTCTTTGGGTAGCCCCCTTCTCGCCAATCTCGCCCCCCAACACACCCCGCCGCCGCCTCGCCCCCCCACCGCAGCCTCGGCTCCCCCCATATTGTCAAGCTTCCTTGGCGAGGGGTCTCCCCGGATTGGCAGAATGTACCCCCAGGGAAGGCACCCGGTGAGTGGGGTCCCGGCTGCTGGGGAGGGTCCCCGGGCGCCCGGGCGCTCAGACCCTGACATGCCCGCCAGACCCCGCTCCAGTCCGGCCAGCCCTTCAAGTTCTCGATCTTGGAGATCTGCGACCGCATCAAAGAGGAATTCCAGTTTCTTCAGGCTCAGTACCACAGGTGAGGGGGGGCTGGGGCGCCCCTCCCCCAGGAGGACCCGGGAGTTCACCTGCGAGCCCCGGGAGGGGGGCGGGGCCCGCGGGGGGCCAGGGTTGGGGGTCGGCGGGGGCGTGGCCTCCGGGGTGCGGGAGGAGGAACCACGGAGGACCCCTGCACCCCCAAACCCTGGAATCACTGTTGAGGTGTCTGCGCCGGGACGTTTGGAGCCTGGGAAGGGATGGGGAGGGGCTGGGACTGGGAAGCCAAACCCTCACTTTGGGAACGGCCCCAATGGGGGGTCCGTGGATCTCCCGCTGGGGGGTTAGGACAGGTGGAATCCCCTACCTGTGTCCTTCCCAGCCTCAAGCTGGAATGTGAGAAGTTGGCCAGCGAGAAGACCGAAATGCAGCGACATTATGTCATGGTGAGGAGGGCTGCGGGCGGGCGGGAGGGAGGGCCTGGGGGGAGTGAAAACAACCCGGTGACTGAGGACTCACCAGTGACCCTCAGGGGTAAGTCCCTGCCCCCCTCTGGGCTTCCTTTTCCCTCTCTGTGAACTGGCCTGGAGGGAGCCCCAGGTGGTCTCTCCTCTTCAGAACAATGACGCAGGCTGACCCTGTCCCCATGGACATCCCCGAGGGGCCAGGGGCTTCGGGTGCCACCTAACTGCCCCACCTCTTTGGAGAGAATAGAGGGGGCCCTGCTTTCTCCTTTGGGCTCCCTCTCCGGGGGTGGAGGGCTCTGGGTTCTGCTGTGATCTCCCCCCTCCCACCCCCCTGCCCCCCGGGACTCCAGGAAGACCCAGCCGCACCCAGTGCAGGCTGGGCACTGGGCACTCGGCATGCAGACCTCCCTGGCGCCTTTTCCTTTGCAGTACTATGAGATGTCCTACGGACTCAACATTGAGATGCATAAGCAGGTGACTTGTGCTGGGAGTAGGGGTGCTGGGTAGGGCGGGCTGGGGTCTGGAGGCGCAGGGTGGGGTGGGGTAGTGTAGGCCATCTGGGGCAAAGCAGGGAACAGGTGTCTTATCTCGAATCTCTGGGGCCAGGAAGGTGGGTTTTAGCCTCATGAAAGGAAAACAGTTCTGAAATCGGACTTTTTCCAACAGGATGCGAGTGGTGGGCGGGGGCCAGGCTTCCCCAAACAGGTCAAGGTGGTTGTGGAGGTGACCTGGGTGAGGGTAGCTTTGGAGGTCCCTTTCAGTCCGGAGTCTGACGTTTGAGGGTCTGAGGTGGACCCCAGGGTCTGTTGCTGCTCTGAAGGTTCTGAGGAACCTTCAGATTGACTGACGTTCCCAGGGTTGGAGACTCCTAAGTTTCTGGAAGTGATCCCCAGGGACTAAGATAGGCCCAGAGGTTCTGGAATGGACCCCAGTTGTCCAAGATTAATCCTGAGGCTGATTTCAGGGTTCTCAGATGGTTTCCTAAGGGGATAAGTGGAACCCTAAGATTCTGAGGTTAAGGGAATCTTACATTTTCTTTATCGGAAGAATAGTCAGCGGTGGAGCCTCATTGGGGGGGGGGGTTCCTGGTGGGTGGAGAGAAGAGGAGGGTAGCCTGGGAGCATGGGGACCCTTTGCCGTGGTGTGTCTTTCTGGTTTGATGTGGGCTGTGCTGGTTCTGGTATGGGCAGAAGGAGGCTTGTCTGCCTGGAGTATGGTGTGTCCCATGGGTGCACAAGATACACCTGCTCACGGGGTGGGAGGCACGGAGTAGGATTCGGGGTGCCCGAGCCGGGTCTGCCCTTCTGGTTGAAACACAAACCGCGCGGGAAGTAGCACACAGCACGCCCGTAATTCAGCACAGCGCACTTACAGCCAAGCCACCCCCAGTCCTTGCCCCACCCCACGGCTTCCCCTCTGTTCAGCCTCTGAGAGACCCCCCCCTGATCCAGACCCTGACCCAGAGCCCCGCAGAGCCACACTTCGTACTCCACTGCTGACGCCCCCTGCACAGGTTGGTGCTCAGCTTTGCCAAGGCTGCGGCCTGCCGCTCAGTTCTGTGGGACCTGCCTGCCCGGGGTGAGCCTGCATTCCACGGGTTCAGGGCTCACCCCAGTCTCCACTCTGAAATCCTGGTCACCCATTATAGATTTGGGTTCCTAGCAACCCCTCTTCAAGTTCAATAATTTGCTAAAACAGCTCACAAAACCCAGGGAAACACTTCCCTTGCTGGGGTCTGTTTATCATGCAGCATGTAACTTGGGGACATCCAGAGGCAGAGACCAAAGACACAGGGGCCAAGGTGTGGGATGGGGGTCCCTGGGGTGCACCTCCCAGCAGTTCCACATATTTGCCCAGCGGGAAGCGCTCCTGACCCTGCAGTTAGGGGGCTCTATGGAGGGCTCCTCAAGTGGCAGGTTGATTTGGTCATTCGCCCCTCAGCCTGCAGCCCTCACCTCTCCCTGGAGGTGGAGGTCTGGGAAAGGGGTGGAAAGTTCTATCCTTCTATAAGCTCAGGTTTGCTATAAGGGGCTTACTATGAATAAGCAAGACTCTCCTCCCCACTGCTCAGAAGTCCTAGGGGTTTTAGGGGTTCTATGCCAGGAATTTTAGGCAAAGACAAAATATTTTTATTTTTGGATCTGTACCCGGCAACAGACCCCAACAGGGGCTGTCTCTGTGGAGACGTGGCCTAGCCAGGGCTGGAAGCCGGAGCTCCCGCTGAGGCCCCCTGGTTCAGTGTCAGAGTATCCCAGTTTGAGTGGGTCATTGTGCAGCTGCTTCCTGGGAAGCTGCTGGAGGTCGCCTGCCTGGGGCCGGCCAGGGCTGGCGTGTCTCACTCTGTCCCTAAGCCTGTGCCTTAGGGGCTTCATTTCCCTCCTTGCACCTGTGGGTGACAGCTCCCCAGCCTACACTTTTGCAAAGTTTAGCTATGCCCGGGAGAGCCAGGCCTCGGGGGGCCTGGCTTGAGCGCCTTCTCCCTGTGCCTCCTGGTAGGCCGAGATTGTGAAGCGCCTCAGCGGGATCTGCGCCCAAATCATCCCCTTCCTGACACAGGAGGTGAGTGGACCGGAGCGGCGTGGGAGGGGAGTCAGAGGGAAACTGAAGGAGGTGGGTATGGTTGGATGTCTCAGGCACTGGTTTTTGTGGGTAGCTGGGGGCCTGGGCATAGACTGGGGTAGGGGCTTCAGGGATGGAGAGTGGGGTGTGTTGAGGGTTAGGAGTGGAGGCTTCAGGCCCTCCAGGGAGACTGCTGGGATCCCAATCCTGGCTGTGTGGCCTTGGGCAAGTTGCTTGCCCTCTCTGTGCCTTTGTCATGAAGTTTAAACTAGTTTATACTTAAATATGCTGAGAAGGATGCTGGGTGCTTACTAAGCACCCAATAAAAGTTCACCTTTACAGGATGCTCAGTGAAATAAGCCAGACACAAACGGACACTGTGTGGCTCCACTTATAGAGGAACCTGGAATAGTCAGACCCCTGGCACCACAGAGTAGCGTGGCGGGAGTGGCACTCCCGCTGCAAGAGCCCAGAAGCCACGCGTGGCTTCTTTATTCAACAGTACAGAGAAAATTTTATTAGAGACAGTTCTACAGCCCTGAGCACCGAGCACACCACAGCCACTCATCGTAGGTGAGGCTTAAGATGGGGAGGGAGCCAGGTGCAAGTGGACAGACGGGATGAACCCATAAAATGCACTTGACCTTAAACAACAGGGTTTGAATCGGGCAGGTCCACTTAGACATGGATTTTTTTCAGTAAATGCAGCCAACCCTCCACCCATGGTTCTGCCCTCACAGATGCAGCCAGTGGGTCGGCTTGTTGAATCTGTAGGTGCGGAACTTGTGGAAGTGGGAGCAGGGGGCTGCTTTGAGGGACTGAAGTATGCATGGATTTTGGTATCGGAGGAGGGTCCCTGAAGCCAATCCCCAAGGAACCACTGGTTAAGTTCTGGGGGAGTGAAAACCTCCGTGTGGATTTTCAACTCCTTCGGGGTTCGCGCCCCTGTGTTGTTTAAGGGTCAACTGTAGTTCAAATGGCAGATTCAGGCAGGTTTATGAAGGCAGCCTTAGGCAGTAAAGTGGAGAAAAACAAAGGAATGACTGTGTGAGGGGGGCGGGAAGGAGGGTGTTACCTTTCGCTAAGTGCTGGGGGCTTCTAGGAGCTGCCAGTTTCTAATTTCTGGCCTGAGTGGTTGGTACCTGGGTGCTGGCTTACTACTGGTTAGCGGTTCTTTACTGGGGGTGATCCTGGCCAGTAGACATCTGGCCATGTCTGGGGATATCTGTGGTTTCCTACTGGTGGGGGCCAAGGATGCTGCTCACCACCCTCTCCCCAGTGCCCATGGGGCCCCCACAGAAAGTGACTTGGCCTCAATGTCAGCAGTGCCAGGGAGGGGGGGGGCTCTGATTTCTAATGATTAGGGTTTGTTTTTTTTTAAAGATTTATTTATGCATACAAGAACGGGGTGTTGACCAAAGGCTCAGGGGGTGAGAGGACTCACTGGAGACAGAGCGGGGAGCAGAACAGGCAGACGGACTGAAATCCACTGCTGAGGGGAGCAGCGGGGAGACAGGAGGGGTCTGCCGCACCATGTGGGTAGCTCCCTGGCCGGGGATGGAACTCATGCCACAGTGGCTGCGGACAGCTTCGTAGTGCTGAGACTTAACCCCTTGTGCCGCCAGGGAGGCCCAAGATGACTAGTTTTAACTGTACTTATATGCTGTTTCTTTTTCTATGTGCTTGTTTCATGATCTAAGAAGGGAGAGGGAGAGAAAGAAAAGAGAAATAGCAAGAGCCAGGGTGAGGAGGAGGGTGGGAGAGGAAAAGCAGAAGGCAGTGTCTGGGCAGACGGGGGCCGGGGGGAGCTTCCCTGAGAGCCCCCTTCTCTGTACCCCTCCGCTCCCCAGCATCAGCAGCAGGTGCTGCAGGCCGTAGAACGAGCCAAGCAGGTGACCGTAGGGGAGCTGAACAGCCTTATCGGGGTGAGTCCCCCCAGCCTCTACCTCTCGGTGGGGGGTCTGGTCTCTCCCTGCAATCCCTGGCGCGCAGCGGGTGCTATGGCTGGGTTCTGGGTGGGCAGCTGACCTAGACTCTGGGCCCCCCCCAGGCATTCCCTTTTGTCTGAACCCTGCCCCTCCTCTTGCTGGGTGCCCACCCCCTCCCCACCTCCACCTCCACCGCCCCACCCCACCCCTGCTCTGGCCCAACTCTCCTCCTCTCCAGCAGCAGCAGCTCCAGCCCCTGTCCCACCATGCCCCCACTGTGCCCCTCACCCCTCGCCCCGCCGGGCTGGTGGGTGGCAGCGCCACGGGGCTGCTGGCCCTGTCCGGAGCGCTGGCCGCTCATGCTCAGCTGGCCGCCGCCACCAAGGAGGACCGGGCTGGTGTGGAGGCCGAGGGGGCCAGAGGTGAGTGGGCCTGAGAGGGGTCTGGTGGAGGGGGTGGGCATAGGGGTGGCAGCTTTCCTCCCGGCTAGTGCCAACTTGGGCAGTCACCGGAAGGGGCCGGGCAAGGGTGCTGAAAGAGGGCGGTGCAGAGCTGGGAGCGGGCTTGTGGGCCATGGAAGGCTGTGCCCCCCACACCGTGACAACGCATCCCTCGTTCTTCCTCCTGCTCGCTCTTCCTCACTCCCGACCGCCAGTGGAGAGGGCCCAGAGCAGGGTAAGTTGCGGGGTGTCTGGGGACTTGCCCTCTGATGTGCCTGCTATTTGCTTTGTGTTCAACTGCGGCTGAAGCTGTTTATTCTGAGCTGATAGGAGCCCCAGGAAGAGCCCCACACCCCGCTTTCCCACTGTCACCTCGAGCCTTTTTGTGCAGGCGATGACCGTAGGCTAGAACTTCATGTATTTAATTTTCAATTTTGCGCTATTTTGGCAACTAATAAATGAATGGACGTGTGTTCTCCTGTCCGCCGTTCCGTCCCTTCATCCAGACACCCTGCGCTTGCTGTCTCTACTGTCTGCGAGCACTCGGCCCCGTAGAGATACGTGTGAGCCCGCTATGTCATTTTTAAAAGTGATTAAAATTATTGTAGAGGTGGCAAAGAAATGTATATGGAGGCTCCCAGGGCAGCCCTCGCTCGCCCTCCATGGTAACATGTTGTGTCACTGAAATGCAGTGTCAGGCCCAGGCAGCAGACATGGGTGCAGCTTCGAGCTCACTCAGACTTCACAGTTCCCTCCCACTCGTGTGTGTGTGTGTCCCGTGGTTCTCTGCAGCCTGGTGACATGCTTAGCCATGTCTCGTTGGGTCCATTTCAAGGGCTCAACAGGCTCAGGTGGCCAGTGGGTACCTTTGGCTAGATCTTCACTAGTCTGTGCTGGAAAACAAACCAGCAAGTAACTAGACAGTGAGACAAACAGAATCAAACAGTACAAAAGGTACTGAACAAAGGAAAAAAGTCTCTTCTGTGACCCCAGAGCCTCATCCAGTGCAAACATGGTGGTTTCTGGGCATCCTTTTGCAAAGCTTTGGTGCCTCTGCAGTGTAGCTATGTGTGTCTTGCGCATGAGCAGAGGGGCAGTGACACGGGTCCTAGTACGGCCACGTCTTGGGTACCTGCAAGTGCAGGTGGTGGTGCCGTGTCCTGCGCTGCGCTCATTTAGCATGTGTTGGAAAGATCCATTTCACCTGGATGATTCTGCCCCCACATGGCAATGTCTGGGGACACCTGTGGTTGTTAGAACTGGAGGTGCTCTCTGCCAGGAATGCTGCTGACACCCTACAGTGCCCAGCTCCCCAGAGAATGCTGGTCCCAACGATAGCAGTGCTGAGGGGAGAGATCTGGTGTATATATATTTAGTGGGCTATTGCTAAGGGGGGCTAACCGTAGCACTCACTGTGTTCCAGGCAGTTTCAAGCTAAGCTTTCCATGGCTATTACCTTGTCCCTTCCCAGCAACCTCAGGAGGCAGGTACCCATGTTGCAGATGAAGACAGTGAGGCACAGAGAGGTCAAGTGACTTCTCATTCACACAGTCAATGAGAAGCCAAGCTGGGTTTTGCTGCTCGTGTTTTTCCCTTCGGTGATAGATCGGGACATTTTCTGTGTCGTCTCTTTTTAAATGGCCACATGGCTTTCCATTCTGTGGCTGTGCATACTTTAATTCCCACTGCTACCACCGTGCTGGTTGTGGCATTGAATCCTCCTGTGTGTATCTGCATCTCTACCAGCTACTCTCCAGGCTAGATCTCCTATCCGGCTGCTAAATTGGGCTGCCAGAAAGGATATCAACTGAAGAGAAGTCTCACAATCATAATGCTCAGACGTCACTGTGTGGGCAGCTCCCGTGTGTGGCCGGGACACTGAGGCTTCCGTGGGCAGCTGGCGCTAGGGGTGTCTCGGTGCCAGCTCACCCAGCCTCTGCCCGGCCTTGCCTGGGGGTCCCTGTTGCCTGCTGTCCAGGGCAATGCCATTGGCATCTGGTGCTCTGAGTTCCCACTAGTCAGTTCCCACCTTGGCTCCCGCCTCAGCACAGCCCTGCCTTCCCATACCCCCAGGTTCCCCACCGGTACGGTGCGAGTAACCATAGCTCCTGAGAAGTTGGCGGTGAGTCAAGAATTTAGCATCTAGTCAGCCCTTTGGAAGGCCCCGTTTTCCAGGTGGAAGCTTGAGGCACAGATCCTAATAACATCTGCGGGGACTGTCTTGGCTAGGCCAGGACAGGCTGGGGGCCCCGGCCCTGACCGTTTCTCTCACCTGGCCCCTGTCTCTGCAGAGCGCGTCCCCTTCGCCCCCCGAGAGTGTGGTGGAAGAGGAGCGGCTGAGCGGCCCTGGGGGCAGTGGGAAGCAGAGAGCTGAGGATAAGGAACTGTCTGGACCGTATGTAAGTTGGGGGGCTGCGGGTGGACGGGTGGGTGAGTAAGAGGGACGAGCAGAGGTGGGCTGGAGGGCTGGGCCAGGGCCACACAGCAGACTTGGGCCCCGAGCTCCTCCACTCGCCTCCACCCGCCACCCCCTGAGCCCTGAGCACATAGGCTGCCGTCACCCCAGAATCCCAATCAAACCCCAAGACCTACGGGTGAATGTTCCCGAAGAGATGTAGGGGGGATGGCTAGGGTGACCGCGCCCCATCTCTCCCCAGGAAAGCGATGAAGACAAGAGTGATTACAACCTGGTGGTAGACGAGGTGAGTCGGGGTCTCCATCTTCCTGGCTCTGGCCCCGGGGACTCTGCCTGGGAACTAGGAGGACCAAGGACAAGTGGCAACTTTTCTGGAGTGAGAGTCTAGGGTGGAGTGTCTGGGTCCCTGGGATGGGGATGGTGCAGGGCCAAGGGGAGCAGGGATCCTGGACTCCTCAGGCCCACTGCCTCTCTGTAGCACAGTTGGGGAAACTGAGGCCTAAAGAACACTAGAGATGGGCAGCAGAAGTGGCTTCAAGCCCTGGCACACTGTGACACCCCTTCCCTGGCCTCATCTTTCCCCATGTTTAATGGTGGGAGAACCAGTCCCTCATGTGTGCTTATGGAATATGGCCTTTTATGAACCCATTTTACAGACGAGTAAGCTGAGGCACAGGAAGTTTCATAATCCTCCCACAGTGGTTGTAGGTGCTTAATCTGGAAGTTGGAGTAGGGCTTGGGAGGGGGATAGACAGGGGTTCTCCTTCCTCTCCCTCTTCACTCCTCAACCTCACCACCTCAAACCTAGGACCAACCCTCAGAGCCCCCAAGTCCAGCCACCACCCCATGTGGAAAGGCACCCATCTGCATCCCCACCCGTCGGGACCTTGTGGATAGTCCGGCCTCCTTGGCCTCCAGCCTGGGCTCACCACTCCCCAGAACCAAGGAGCTCGTCCTGGTAAGAATAGGGGCAGCCTTGAAACTCACTCTTTTTACCCTGGGGGCCTGGACACAGATATTACCCGTTAGATGTGGAGTGAAGATACATTGGCTAAGCTGGTGTAATAGATAATGTTGCAGATTCAATGCCTTCCTAATTTTTTTTGCCACCTTCCTAAAAATCACCTTTACCTTATTCAGGTAATTTTTCCCAAGCTGACTCATTCTTTTGCACTTGAATAACTATTAAAAGGCAGGCTGGTAAATTAACTTTGGAAATACATATTAAAAGGCAACTTACCACCTTATATGGAAACCATCTCCTGTGATAAATAGGGACACTCATGGAAATTAACGAGCGAAACTATAGAACTGACAACTCACCGCTGGACTCCGGCTCTGGAAGGGTTAAGGCCATTCCTGCCCGAAGACTTTGCTCCTGAAAGGGAAGGGGACTGAAATCAGAGCAACTTCCCTGCATCTCCAGATGTTGAGCCAGGCGTAGGGACCACCCAAGAGGAGCCCCCCACCCCCACCCCCAGGGGCACCTCCATCCCCTTTTCAGAGTCTCCCCAGCCTCCTGCCCTGCACTCATCTGGGGGGACTAGGCTGTGGTATGGCTGTTTCTAGGTCTCCCCTCCCTGCAGGTTGCTATGGCAACTGCCTGAGGTTGGGGCTCACACTATAGCCCGGGTGGGGCGTAGGGCAGCACTGTTCTAATGAAGAAGCCCCCATAAGACCTCCCTGCCCCCATACTGTCTTGGGGTGCCAGTGTGCTGTCATAACACGAGTGACAGTGGCGGAAAGCAGGGGTGCCACCCACACAAGATGAGGATGTGAAGCCTCTGGAAAGTCAAGGTAGTTATGGCAGAGAGCTGAGACAGCAGAGTGTGCCCTGACATGGAGGTGCCTTCTGTTGTCCTCCACTGCCCCCCCAGGGGGTATCCCCTTCCCAGGGGAACAAGGTGGAGTCTGCCAGTCCTAGTGCTGTTCCTTCATCTGGGAGCACCGGGTGGACTCCTGCTTCACGAGTCCATCCCAGAGCTTCTCATTGCTTGCCCTGAAGGATCTGACAGGCCCTGACTGTCTCCGTCACCTCCTTTTGGGAGCCCCCCTGCACAGGGTGTGCCCTGGCCTGTGTGCCTGCCTGGCAACACCCTCCACCCCAGGTCTCCAGCTATGTCTGCACAGCATGCCTTTTCATGTGTGTGCAGAGTTCTTGGAAACGACATGTGTGGTTCACTTTGGCAGGCGCTGTGCAGCGGCTGCATGCCCATTCCTGCTCAGGACACTCACGTGTGCCCCAGGCCCGAGGGGTCAGCTGTGGGGCCCATCCCTCTGGTGCACACCTGAAACTGCAGGGGTGTGCTACTGCCACGCACCTCCCGTGCGCCCCAGCTACCTCCCCCGTGTGGGCTCCCATTCTGTTTCTTTTTTAAGATTTATTTTTATTTTTATTTATGCATACAAGAGCTGGGGTGCAGGTCAGAGGTGTGGGGGTGGGGTGAGAGGATTAACCAGAGACAGAGTGGGGAGCAGAACAGGCGGATCCACTGAAATCCACTGCTGAGGGGAGCAGCGGGGAGACAGGAGAGGTCTGCTGCGCCATGTGGGTAGCTCCCTGGCCGGCTGGGGATCGAACTCATGCTGCAGTGGTTGGCTATAGCTTCATAGCCCTGAGACTTAACACCATGTGCCACCTGGGAGGCCCCTCCCTTTCTGTTTCTGACTGAATCCTTGGGCCACAAGGTGCCAGGGGTCTTGCTACGCTCAGCCCCGCCCTTTCTCTGCAGAACGATATTCCCGCCAGCACTCCTGCCTCCAAGTCCTGTGACTCCTCCCCACCCCAGGACGCGTCCACCCCCGGGCCCAGCTCGACCAGCCATCTCCGCCAGCTTACTGCCAAACCAGCACCTTCCACCGACAGTATCGGTGAGCACCCACTGGTGCCTGCAAGGCAAATGTGTCTCTAGGGATTCTAGAAAATGGCATGGGGGTGTGGGAGGAGCTGGTTTGGACTCCAGCCCTGGCGTTGCCCTTTTCATGATTCTGAGCTAGATGCTGCCTCACTGTGCTCTCAGCGTCCCTGTTGTCTTGGCCTGGGGGTGGGGGACTGAGGCCCAGGGAGGGGAAGTGACTCACTAGGGGCTTCAGCCTAGCGCGTTAGATGGGTAAGCTTTGGCGTTAGACAGGCTTGGGTTTGAGGCCAGCCTTGGACACTTGCAGCTGTGTGACCTTGGGCAAGTGACCCAACCTCTCTGAGCCTCACTTTCCCCATCAGTTATGTGGGGAGCACAGTGCTCTTCTTTTCTCCCTTAGGGCTGGGCCCTCTGTTGGTTCTGGGTCCGCACAAAGAAACCAGCCCCTGAAACTTGCCCTGAGGAACTCCCACATAGTGGGGAAGAAAAACCACATCCGCCCATTTGCACTCCTTTGCGATCTGAGCTTGGGTAGAGAGAGAGACCCAAGATAGGCAAGGTTGGCGCCCAGGGGAGGCTCAAGGATGGTCCTGAGATGTTGTCGGACATTGGTCGAGGTTTTGAAGAATGAGCAGGAGTTCAGCAGCTGAAGAAGTAAAGAACTGACAGATGCCAGGTCAGGCAGGACAGCGCGAGGGACATTTGAGAATGTCTAGAGAAATGACAGGGAGGGGTGGTGCTGGGCCAGGGCGTCGGGACCTTGGCCTGGATGACACCCAGAGGGAGGCAGGGTCTGGGTCCAAGGTGTCTGAAGACCTGTCTTTATCTCTTCTCCCTCAGCCCTGAGGAGCCCCCTGACCCTGTCCAGTCCCTTCACCACATCTTTCAGCCTTGGGTCCCACAGCAGCACCCTTAATGGGGACCTCTCTGTGCCCAGCTCCTATGTTAGCCTCCACCTGTCCCCGCAGGTCGGCGGCTCTGTGGTGTACGGACGCTCTCCCATGGTGAGTCCTCAGGGTGGGGGGCAACGGGATATCCCCAGGGCCTAGGGGCTGGGGGGCAGGGAAAGAAACCAGGCGCACAAGGAGACAAGGGAATGGGGGAAGGAACGGGAGTCCTGGACTCGGCAAGTGTGTGTAGGAGGAGGATCTGAGGGTCTCAGTAGCCCACAAGCCGAATACAGAGGAGCCCCCGACTGGAGAAAGGAGCTGTGATTATGCTGCGCTCAAAGGAGCAGAGAGCCGCGGCCGTAGGAGCTGCGTCCCATGCCGCTTCCTGGCGGATGGGGCCTGGTTGCTGACCCTTGTTCTGAAGGGACTATGACAGTTTCGGTAGATTGCAGAGAGAGGGCCAGCCCATGGCATTAGGAATGGAGAGAGGACCGAAGTGAAACCCCGCGAGGAGTTGAAGGAATGAGGAGTGAGATTCCTGAGCTGGGGTGGAGGGAGAGGACAGTACAAATGGTTGACGGACTGAGCCATCCCGAATTCATCAAGATGCTTCCGGAGGGAATGAAATGTCGCCATTGTAGTCTCTCAGACCTGGGGCTGGGTGGGCACTTTTGAGGGATGCTGTAGAAAAGAGTCAGCAAATGTTTTCTGTAAAGGGCCAGACTGTAAATACTGTTGGCTTTGCAGACCCACCAGTCTCTGTCACAACCACTCACCCCTGCCTTTTTTAGCTCAGAAGCACCATGTAAATCAACGAATGTGCCCGTGTGCCAATAAAACTTTATACAAAACAAGCAGGGGGGCCCATAGTTCACCAGCCCCTGCGCTGTGCACTGTATGGAAGACTTCAGGACCCTTCCAACTCTGGGGTTCCAGAATTCCCTCAAGTTCCCTCCCTTCTTCCATCTCTAATATGGGCAGAAGAGGAGGCAGCTTTGCTTTCCTGGGGGCAGAGCTGATGAACAGATTGGGAGGAGGGGCTCTTATGAACAGAAGGATGTGGCTGGAGGGTGTAGGAGGGGCAGATGTGGCTCTGAGTCACCCATCTTGGGCTCACCCTTCGGCATTTTGGCAGATGGCATTTGAGTCCCACCCACACCTCCGCGGATCATCCATGGCCTCCTCCCTGCCCTCCATCCCTGGGGGAAAGCCGTGAGTACGGGCTTGCGTCAGGGACGCTGCTCCACACCCTCTGGGGTGGCTCCATCCCAGACAACACCTGGCCCCAAGTCTCCCTAGAACTTTCTGCCACGATAGGAATGTTCAAGACCCGGCGCTACCCAATTTGATTGCCACCAGCCTCGCGTGCCTCGTGAGCACCTGCATGTGGGCAGCGCAGCCGCAACTGAACCTTCACGTTTATTTAAGTGGCCACACCTGGCCGCCGGGTACTGGTTTCGTAGTGTCTCCGGAACTCGGGGCGTTTTCCTGAATCCTGCAGTAGACTTGTGTTGAGGCTCACTGATACCCCGCTTCCTTTCTATCTGATACTGTCACCTTTGAGCACAGGGGCGCGTGTCCTAACAGCACTGGGGGCCCGAGGGCGGGGAAGGCACCTAACCGCCCTGTGTTGGTGTCCGGTGGTTACCTTAAGGGGGGCCCGGCTCCCCCCTCCAGGGCGTTCCCTCTGGAGCGTCAGGTCATGCCGCATCTCCTGCCCAGGGCCTACTCCTTCCACGTGTCTGCGGACGGGCAGATGCAGCCGGTGCCCTTCCCGTCGGACGCGCTGGTGGGCGCGGGCATCCCCCGGCACGCGCGGCAGCTGCACACGCTGGCGCACGGAGAGGTGGTCTGCGCCGTCACCATCAGCGGCTCCACGCAGCACGTGTACACGGGCGGCAAGGGCTGCGTGAAGGTGTGGGACGTGGGCCAGCCCGGCGCCAAGACCCCCGTGGCCCAGCTGGACTGCCTGGTGAGGGGCGGCTGCGGCCCAGCGGGGCGGGGCTTGTTGGCCAAACAGGGGCGGGGCTTGCCGTCCCGCGCTGGTGGGGCTGGTGGGCACCCGCGCGGGGCTGCCTTGAACTCCGGAGGCCAGAGGTGTACTCCCGGGACCAGAGGGACAGGGCTCCTGGACGCAAGGCCGGGATGTCCAACCTCACTCTTTTCTTCCCTCCCCGCCCCAGAACCGGGACAACTACATCCGTTCCTGCAAACTGCTGCCAGATGGCCGCAGTCTGATCGTGGGTGGGGAGGCCAGCACCTTGTCCATTTGGGACTTGGCGGCCCCCACCCCCCGCATCAAGGCCGAGCTGACCTCCTCGGCCCCTGCCTGCTATGCCCTGGCGGTCAGCCCGGACGCCAAGGTCTGCTTTTCCTGCTGCAGTGATGGCAATATCGTGGTCTGGGACCTGCAGAACCAGACCATGGTCAGGTGGGTGGCGGGTGCCCTGTGACCTGGGGCAGGTGTCTCTGCCCGCCCTGTGCGCAGGGGGGCTGGTGGAGTGGCCTGGCAGGATGCTGGAGCAGAACCCACTCCAGGAGGGACGCCTGGGCCCTTCTCCCTGCAGGCAGTTCCAGGGCCACACAGATGGGGCCAGCTGCATCGATATCTCCGATTATGGCACCCGCCTCTGGACGGGGGGCCTGGACAACACGGTGCGCTGCTGGGACCTGCGGGAGGGCCGCCAGCTGCAGCAGCACGACTTCAGCTCCCAGGTGCCGTCAGGCGGGAGGGAGGGGGGCGGGAGTCCTCCCCTCCTCTCCCCAGAGGCCCCCACTTCCAGAGATAGGGCAGAGCTAAATGCCTGCTGTCCATGTCAGTCTTTCCTGTCCCTCAGACAAAGCCACAGGCCTTCTCCTTTAATTTTCCGAAGACAGACGTGGAGACAAAGGAGCAGATGATTATTAAGCTGTGGGGTGCTGAGACCCCTCTGATCTTCCTCTTGTAGGCGCTTGCCAAGCCATCCCCCCTTTTCTTTGTCTTCCTATATAGCTGGATTTTCCTCCCTGGCTTTAACCTCTTGACCTTACTGAGAACTCCTGGACCCCCAACTCATGAAGGGAGAGCCGCTGGCCTGGGGGGGGGACAAGAAGGTTGATACAGGAGCTGGGCCGAGATAGGGTACTGCGGGGGTCCAGGCTGAGCACGGGGAGGAGGGGCTGGGCAGAATCCGACTCAGAGCGAGACCAGGGGCAGGTCTTCAGGTACCGTCCCCGCTGCCTCGGGTCCACCAGGTCCTCCGTGCTCCGGGCTCACACGAGGCATGCCTGTGACACCTCCAGACCCCCCTACTTGTTATTGTCCCTTCTGGCCAATTTGTCTTTCCCTTCTTCCCTCCAGTTGGTAACCTGTTACCCATCTCCAGCACCTGTGCGATTTGGCCCTTTTCTTGAAGCCTGTAGGCAGCTATCTCCGAACATTCTGTTCTACCTTCTCTTCCCGTTAGCTGGATAGGGAGTTCAGGTGTGCAGGTGGAAACAGTTGTTTATCCCCCACCCCTGAGACTTTGGTGGGGTGTATACATATCTGGGGATTCCCAGGGTGAGTATCCCCCACCCCACCAGGCCCTGATCTTTACATACTTGTGTATAGCCAGGAAGAATTTTGGAAACCTTCTAGTCTTCTCTCTGTTGTAAATTTGTGATTCTTTCCACACGTCTCATTTTTCATAAAGAATTGGTAAGGGTTAGGGTGGAACAGGACCTTAGTCCTCTCTGTGCCTTCACCGCGGTGGGCGCAGACGACAAGTCCACAGGTCCTTTCCAGTCAAAGTGAGAGGTGTTGGCAAGTGGGGGAGTTCCAGGCAGGGAGCCGGAAGGCCTGGTCTTCCAGACTTGTTTGTGACCTTGAGCTAGTGGTGGCCTCAGCTTCCCTCCTGCCATCTGCTCAAGGGGAGCCACTGTCCTCACCCGGCTTCACCCTTTCCCGCCCGCCCTCCCAGAGCTGTTGTGCTGTTGAGCGGATAATGGATGTGAGGCCCCGGGGTTCCATGTAATTCTGATTAATATTAATGATTCGACATGCAGTTGCCTGCTGTGTTCCAGGCCCTGGGCCAGCTGCCTCTCCAGTGAGCACTGCAGTGGGCAAGCTCTGGCCTCCTCCCCTCGCCTGTACCCCTAGATCTGGGCACCCCCTACCGCCCCACGAGGTTTCTGACGCCAGCTCTCGCCTCTTCAAACCCAGATTTTTTCCCTGGGCCACTGCCCCAACCAGGACTGGCTGGCTGTTGGCATGGAGAGTAGCAACGTGGAGATCTTACATGTCCGCAAGCCGGAGAAATACCAGCTGCACCTTCACGAGAGCTGCGTGCTGTCCCTCAAGTTTGCCTCCTGCGGTGTGTCTGCCTGGAGCTGGGGCGTGGGGCGGGGCTGCCAAAACACGCAAGACAGAGTGCCTGGTTCCTTTGGAAGCGTAAACAACAAATCATTTGCTAGTCTAAGTATATCCCGAATAATGCACGGGATAGACTGACACAGAAAAGCAGCTACAGCAAGTTCTCAACATTTTCATGAGGTTTCAGGAAAGCGCAGTTTTAAGCAAAATGACTTAGAATGAAAACAGATCCTAGAATAACAGTTTTATTCACCATTTGGCCTGGGTGGTTTGTTCTTATCAACAGTATAATGAAATGAGATCAAACAAAAGGACATTATTTGAGGGCCTCTAATTTGTTAGGCCAAACACATCCTGCATTTTGCATGGGACATACTGACACTAAAGATGGCTTTTTTAGTTAAAATACAGTCGTACGTTGCTTAGTGATGGGATACATTCTGAGAAAAGCATCATGAAGTGATTTTGCCTTTGTGCAAACATCATAGAGTTTAATGGTGCAAAGCTAGACGGCTCGCCCACTCACACTGGACTGGAGGGTCCTGATCAGGACCCCACCCCAACGAATCTGCAGTCCCTCATTCTCTGAAATGTCGTTAAGTGATGCCTGACTGTATACCCCAAGTCCTGCACAGGACAGGACGCACATGTACCAACAACAGGCCAGAAGAGCAACTTGGGGCACTCCTATCAAAAGGATTTGTGGTTTATCTGAAGTGCCGATGTGACAGGGTATCCTGTAATCTATGTGACCATCCTCTTCTGGGAGGCCAGATGGAGCCCCATGGGCTTTGACTGCCCCATCTGGAAAACGGGGCAAAGCATGGGGCCTCGGCGTTCTAAAAAACCCATGTCCCCCAAAGGAGGGTGGAGGTGTGGAAAGGGAGAGGCCAGACTCAGCCTGGCCCAGGGGCCTATGGCCCCCAGCCCTGAGCTTGCCTCCCCCTCAAACCCCCCCACCCCTACTGAACTCTTGCCCTCCCTCCCTCAGGGCGGTGGTTCGTGAGCACCGGAAAGGACAACCTGCTGAACGCCTGGAGGACACCGTATGGAGCCAGCATTTTCCAGGTACCTGGGGTCTGGAGTCCCCACCTGTCGGGACAGTCCATGCCCAGGGGCCCCAGGGTGCCTGTGCTGATAGTTAAACAGGGGAGCCTGGGGCCCTTGACCCCTCCTCACCATCCCACTAGCTGCTAAAGCAGTCGTCGGCAAACCTGCGCCCTCAGACCACATCTGCACGCAGCCTATTGTACTTTTAAAAATTTTTAAAAATATTTATTTATGCATACAAGAACTGGGGTACAGGCCAGAGGTGCAGGATGGTGAGAGGATTCACCAGAGTGGGGAATAGAACAGGCAGACTAATGAAATCCACTGCTGAGGGAAGCAGCGGGCGAGACAGGAGAGGTCTGCTGTGCCATGTGGGTAGCTCCCTGGCCGGGGATCGAACTCGTGCTGCAGTAGTTGCGACAGCTTCATAGTGCTGACGCTTAACCCCTTACGCCTCTAGGGAGGCCCCGATTGTTGTACTTTTTTAATGGTGGTAAAATACGTGGAGTGTAAATGTACCACGTGAGCCACTTTTAAGCGCACAGCTCAATGGAGTTAAGCATATTCACGTAGTCGTGTGCCCATCCCCACTCCATCTCCAGAACTCTTCCCACTGGCACTATCCTCATTAGACACCAGCTCTCCTCCCCCAGCCCTGGCAGGGACCCTCTCCTGTCCCTGTGGCTCCTCCGGGGTCCTCCTGGGAGTGGTCACACAGCATGTCCTTTTCTGTCTGCCTGTTGCCTGCAGCATCAGGCCCTCCAGGCCCGTCCACACTGTAGCTGTGTCAGGTTGTCTGTCCTTACCGAGGATGAATGACATCCCAGTGTGTGTGGCTGGACCACAGAGCATCTGTCCACCCGTCGAGGGGCATTTGAGTTGTTTCCACTTTGTGGCGGTGTGGTCCACGCTGCTGTAACAGCCACGCGGTTTGTCTGCGTGCTGTTATTTCTCCTGGGCAGCTAGTTCGAGATGGAATTGCTGGTAACTTTGGAGGAACTGCCAGACTGTTTTCCAAGCTTTCATTCCCACGAGCCGTAGGGTTCCACATTCCCCCATCTTCACCAACTCTTATGACCTCGTTTACTGCAGTCATTGTAGTGGGCGTGGAGTGGTTTTTACATTTTTAAAGGGTTGTAAAAAAAACAAAAGCCGACCATGTGACAAAGGCTTACGTGGCTCTGGACTCATCTGGACTTTAGGCCAAGCCTAAAAATAATGTACGATTGGACCCTTTACAGAAAAGGCTTCCTGAAGCCCTGGCATGGGTCATGGTGCTGGAAGCTTTCACCCTCTGCCCTGCTCTTTCGTTTGGATGGCTGTGTTGCCTCCCGCCTGGGCACACCCTCGCTGAGCCTCCCGGTTAAGAGGAGGCTCAGTTCCATCTTTCTTGGCAGCAAGAGAGCAGCAGTCCTGCCCTTCCCCGGAGCATTGTCGCCTCTCTGGAGGCTCCATGGTACCCTCCTTCCCGCCACTAGGAGACTCCTGGTTCCCTGCTCTGGGCCCCCCTACCTTGAGCTGGGCGCAGATGCTGGCCCCGCTTGCCTCCCCTCTTCCCTCTGAACATCGTGCGGGTGGTCAAGATCACGGTGCTCAGCTCACACCCTGTCTCTCCCCTGCCCATGCCGACAGTCCAAGGAGTCGTCCTCTGTGCTGAGCTGTGACATCTCCGGGAACAACAAGTACATCGTGACGGGCTCGGGGGACAAGAAGGCCACCGTGTATGAGGTGGTCTACTGAGACCCCTCGTCCTGAGTCCCCGGCCCACTCCTGAGGGAGGGACATCCGGGACACTGCACCCACACCCCCTGCCCCAGGCGTACCTGTGAGTGATTAATCTACTCCCCAGAGGACCCCTCTCGTCTTCCCCTGCTGGGTGTGGGGCTGGGTGGGGAGGGGCCTTTGGGGAAATACATGTATTTATCACAGCTGCCTCTCTGTCTTGGATGGGGCTGGGTTCCACTGCGGTTAACTTTTGCTGGGCACTCCCCCGATGGACGCCACTTCTGGCCGTGACGCGGGGCTGCTTTTCCCTTCTCGGGACGGTCGCATCACTTACTCTGGGTGAAACACTGGGGTGTCCGCCACAAGAAACAAGTGTGCTGGCTTGAGTTATGCCGTGTGACAAATGGCAGTTGAACACAATACGGTCTCACGTCCCTTAGCCACAGGGACACTTTCTGAGAAATGCAGAGTTAGGCGATTTTGTCTTTGTCCCGACATCACGGAGTGTAATTACCCAGGCCAGATGGCGCAGTCTGCCACACATCTGGGCTGTGAGGTGCAGTCTAGCAGGACTCCCCTTGTATTTCTGGCCCGTGGTTGACCAAAACATCATGGAGCAACACTTGACGTCCCCACCCATGCCCACAGCGCGCCAGGACCCGACCAGCACGCTCGGGCCTGGCCTCCTTGACACGTGGCTCCAGGGCAAGACATGTACAAGGGTTGGGGGATGTCGGGGAGTGGGTAGCTATTGGGGTGTAGCTGTTTCTTTGAGAGGCAGAGAAAATTCCAAAGAGCCGGGCATGATGCCTGGCCCACTGTAAGGTCCTAAGCAAATGTCACGGCCCCGGAGGAGGTGACACTGAGCCCTCAGAGAACACATACAAAGCCTCTGCGGGGAGGAGCCTGACCTGGTGCAGACCAGGAGGGGAGTGGAGTCTGCTCAGGGTCTCCAGGTGAGGTTTCAGCAGAGAAAGCCTGTGGGAATAGCAACCCGAGTTGGGAGGGGCTGCCGGGGAGGTGACATAATAGTCAGATCTGGCTTCCAGAAGCTCATGTGGGCTGCCACAAGGACCCTGACTTAGAAAGTGATGCCAGGGTGGCTGGAGACCTGGATGGAGATGACAGGGTCCCTGCTGGAAACACGCCAGGTGAGTTCCTGAGGCTCTTTATGGAAAGAGAATCCTCCAGGTTAGGGAAACTAGACCTGCCGGCACCATCAGGGGCCCTTGTGAACCTGGAAGGGTGGGGAGCAAATGGCAATTTCAGAGCCATGAGCAGAGGGAGGAGGGGAGCCAGTCACGCTGCTGTTGTGAGCTGGCTCATTCCCCCGGCACTCACAGTAGGGCGGTGCCCCCTCTAGGGCACCAAAGGGTATGGGGCATCACCCCTGGCCCCCACCCACCTGAGGCGAGGGCACCCCCAGTTCTGAAATCCAGATGGCCCCAGGCATTGTCCACTGTTGGGGGAGGGGCATGATGCCCGCTGGCTGAATCGCACCCATCAAGACAGGGCACTCGGCCGGGGCCCCTGGGGATCTGCGATGGCAGCGCAGAGGTGCGGGAGGCAGTGGAGAGGCAGTGCTCCAGGTCTTCTCCTCCTGGGGGCGGGGGTACGTCCCTCCCTCCGGGGGCGGCTTCACTGATTTTCAGCACATCCTCAGAGAAGTGGACAAGAAGGGCTCCCGGGCCCTGGCTGAAGGGAGTCCTTCCAGGTCTTGAGGTGCACAAGGCAGAGCAGGGCGCAGAACCACATCACCCTACTTTTTTCAGTTGCTTTATTATAGTGATGAAGATCAACCCGCCCAATGGGCTGGCACCAAAGGAAGCCCTGCCCACGGGGTCCCTCAGTACGTGAGCTGGTACACCGCGGCCTCCTTCTGGGACCCCGTGATGATCAGGCGGTTGTTTGGGGACACATCACAGCAGACGATGCTGGAGGTCTCGGGGACCTGGGTGGGGGCGGGGTGAGCCAGCGGGGGCACACCCACCTTCGCCCCTTCTGCTCTGCCTCTGTTCAAGCCTGGGACTCCCCAGCAGGCTCAGTCCCCAGCACCGGAGACACCTGCACACGCCCCGCACACCCTCCTACCTGGAACACCTTGGTCCCCGTGGGCATGCTGTAGACGCTGATCAGGTTGTCCATCCCGACACTCACCCACCACCGCCCTGCAGGAGGTAAAGGGCACCAGTTTATGTGGGAAATAAATTGGCAGCTGGCAGCTGAGGGTCAGACCCTTGGGGATCAGGGAACAGGGTGTGGGGGGCCCCCATGATCCTGCAAGAGCTTTAGTTGCTGACTGATCCTGTGACGAGGGCTCTGGGCTGGGGGCAAGGGAAGGACATCAGGAGGGGTCAGGAGTGGACGGAGTTGAACAGGATGGGGTCCTGGGGGGGCTTATCCCCACTCAGCCGCTCACCAAGTGGGGAGAACTGGAGACCCAGGATGGTGCTGTCCTTGCAGCCCACTGTGTACTTCTGGCCCCCGTGGGTGGGCTGCAGCCACTGCTGGCCGCTGGCTGTGCCCACGAGGATGAAGTCCTCCCAGGGGTGGGGGGATAGGCTCATTATCTGGGGGGCAAAGAGAGAGGGATCTGGTCAGGTTTCCACCCCGGGGGTGACCACCCGCTCCCTGGCTGCGAGGCCCCCAGCAAGCAACTTCACGCCACGGCCACCCTCTGCCTGCTCGTGTGTCAACTGGGCTTTGTCCTCTGTACCTGGAATGGCCATCACGGAGACCAAGCAAGTCTGAGTATGGAAATGTCCAGAGTTGTTTTGTCAGTGGAACAGAATATTTCTAGTCACCCCATTCCTCCCGGCATCACCGAGACTTGGGGTACCACTACCCCTCGTTCTTCCCCAACGTCTACCCTCCTCCACTCTGAGGGCCAGGAATCAGCTGCTACCCGGCCAGTAGGCCCCATACCGGCCTGCACACCTGAAAATCAAACTGGTATTCCTGGGGCTCCCTGGGGGACCTCAGGTCCCAGCAGCGCAGGCAGGCATCCAGACCCCCTGTCCAGACTTGCTGCTCTTTGACAACCAGGTTCTTAGCTCCATCCTGAAGGCCCGGCAGATCCCTGGCCAGGGGAGACATTGGGGAAAACGGGGCTGAGACTGAGCTCTGGGCCCCACAAATGCCACTTGCTCAGACACACCCCTGGGAAGATGGGGGAGGGCCTCCCTGCTGGCGCAGGTGTTAAAGACGGCGCTATCAAGCCATTGGCAGCCACTGCAGCACGAGCTCCATCCCCAGCCAGGGAGCAACCCACAGACCTCTCCTGACTCCCTGCTGCTCCCCTGGGCAGTGTATGTCAGTGGATCCGCCTGTTCTGCTCCGCACGCTCTCATGGTGAATCCTCCCCCTGCCCGCCACCCCCCTCCCCGCACCTCTGGTCTACACCCCAGCTCTTGTATGCATAAATAAATCTTGAAGAAAAAAAAAGGAAGTTGGGGAGCCGAGGCAGAGAAAAACACAAGTTCAAATAGACAAGGCGCTTCGGCTCTCGGACGCCGGGCCCTGCTGGCCAGCGAGCCGGGAAAGGGCCCGCCCCTGGGCCGCACCTGACCACATTCTGGTCCCGAAGGTCCCAGATCCTGACGGTGCCGTTGCCGAAGCCGGCAAAGGCGAGGTTGTCCTTAAAGTTAGAGGCCAGGGCCTGGCAGGCGAGCCCCGCGCAGGGCAGCTTCTCTCTCACATGCAGGGAAGGGGCCTTCAGGTCCCACACGGTCACGCCAGCCAGGCTGTTGCCGCCCACGAGCAGGGTCATGCTGTTTGGGGACAGCAGGCAGGTACGCAGGTAGGCACCGGGGGTCTGGAGGGTAGAGTCACAGGTGAGTGTCCTCCCCAGGGACAGCCCTTCCTGCTCCCCTAAGCCCACACCCCGGGGCCACGCCCGCACCTGTATGCTCAGGTGGCTCTCCGGAAACCTGTCCTCCATCACCTGGCCCACCAGGCTCCACACCTTGATGCCGCTCCTGCCGCAAGTGAATGCGTGCCTGGTGAAGCTGCTGATGGTGGTGACAAGCAAGGGCTCCCCGGGTTTTAGCACCCGCATCTTCTCCATTCTGTGGGGGACGGCCAGCTTCCTGGATTGCCAGGGCAAGACATCCGGCCTTGTCCATGTGTCTTCAAAGTCTTCGGGGTCCCAGCATCTAGAAGGAAAGGTCTCAGGACCCCCGCCTGCCTGTGAGCCCCTCTGCCTGAGGGAGTGCCCCTCAAGTCTCAGAGGGGCTCTATTTTTCAGATGTTGGGGTTCTCTCTCAGGCCTTCTTTCCTCAAGGTCCTATCCTGTGTCCTCCCCGTATACCCTTGTCCCACAACCAAACACTGCTCCCCTTTGCCGGGATGCTTTGCCCTATCCTAGAAAACTCCTATTCATCCTTCCAGGCCTTCACCAGATGTTCCTTCCTCCAGGAAGACTTCTCCTCCACATTTGGGATCCTTCAACTTCAGATCACACAGCTGCAACCAGCTCTGGCACAGCTCTGCACCGCTCCCTGCCATGGACGTTCCTTCCCCAAAGCCCTTGAACCTGGCTCTGGTTATATGGGGCGAGGCAGTGATGCTGGCCGAGTTGCCCCTCTCGACCCAGATCCCTCGGTCCCCATTACTGAGAACAGAACCATGGTGACGGGGAAGGAGGGCCGACACCCCTACACCTCTGATCCCGGCTACCCTTGGACAGGGGGAGGGGCTGCATGGACACTTACATGGGCTTTAGAAATTGACAGGGCCTCCTAGCAGACTCCTGCGGGGGGAAGGGAATCACAGCTGAGCCCCATTGGCGCCTTCTGCCCTGAACCCCCAGCCTTTATGTGGGTGTTGCTCAGGCCCCGGCCTCACCTGGGCCGTGTGGAAGAGCATCCCCCCTGATGTCCCGCCAGAACCTGTGCTCCCGGTGTTTCCGGAACCCTCAGGGGTGCTGGGGGAGGGCGAAGGCAGGTTGAGCACTGGGTGGAGACAAAAGCGGGTAAGCAGCAGGCACCCCCTTTTTCAGGGGCAGGCTGCCCCCCCCCCACTGGGATTACCCGGGGTGTCTTCTGTAGGAGGCTCTGCCCTCCGCTGGTGTGGTCCCGGCTCTTGGCTTTCCTGCCCTCGGGAAATGGAACCATCTGGTCAGACCAGAGCTTGGGTGAGTCTCCGAAGCAGAAACCCTTAGGACCCAGGCTTTCTGGGCTGACTCTCAGGGGGCTGGCCTGGTTTTGGGGTTGGGGGTGGGCAGGGAGAGTTATTCTGAGGGGAAGAAGCTAAAACCTGGGCTGAGGCCCCACAGGGGTACCACCCAGCCCGGAAGCCCACCCTCGCTGGTCACTTACCAGGCCTGGCGCCTGTTCTGTCACTGTGACGAGGGGGGCGGGAGAGAGGGAAACAGGGCTGGCAAGGGCTGACCGGCTGCCCCTCCACGTGGCCGAGGCCACCCCATTCCTCCCGCCCTGGGAACACTCACTCCTGGGTCCTGGCCCATCTGCTTTATCAGGGAGCCCGACAAAAACCCGCCAGAGCTGCTCAGTCAGAACATCCTGCCAAAACTGGGGTTCGGAGTCCTGGGGGGGTTTCGTGTTCAGCTGGTTAGTTGCAGCCTCGTTTGCTCGGGAGAGCTGCTGGAGCCATTCGGACGACCTCGTGGCAATGACATCGCAGCGGTGTGGTTCCCGGAGGCCGGAGGGCTGCAGGGTCCTGATCCTGGGGTGCCAGGAAGCCTCGGGGCTGGCCGGCCCGCAGGAGTCCTGGTTGGTCTAGTCACCAGGGAATAAACGGCTTACCTGGGTTGGCAGCCTCTGGGTTCCGAGAGACAGAGACACCTGCCGTTGCTCTGAGCTCATCCCCTCCCTCCGAGAGGACCCAGAAACCCACCTTCTTGGGCTGGAAACCTGGGGGTTGGCTGCAGGTGTCCAAGATCCAGAGGAAATTTTCTGCCTAGACGGGGGCAGCGAGCAGTCACAGGGCGAGGTCGCCCTGTCATCGCACAGCCCGGTGTGAACCCCTCTCACAGGCCAGCTCCCTGTGTGTCAGCGGGGCTGCCCCACCTGTCGGGATGCTCTGGGCGGGTGAGGGAACCCAGAGCTCTCTGTACGCTGCTGAGCAAAGTCCTCACACACAGAACCCGCGGGGGTGCCGAGCGTGGTCCTAGTGGCCAGTCTCCATGAACATCGGCAGAAAGTGGAGTCAGATCTGGGTTTGCGGCCCAGATGTTTCTGGGGAAAGTGAAACCTGAACACTACTCTGCTTAGATTGGCTTCAAGAAACAAAACAGCCCGCACATGTCTCCACGGGTGGAACTGACTTTCACATTTGCCTAAGTGCTGGCAGGATACAAAGAAAGTATCTCTAAGTTTCCTTTTCCTTCCTACCCACAGGTGCCTTCTTGCCTTAGGACAGCCTCTCTGTGGCAGCAACAGCTCTCCCCATAGCACTTTCCAGCACAAGTGCCCACTCCTTCTTAACCTCTCCCTCCACCCGGCCGAGCTGCCCTGCACAGTCCATACCAGCCACAGATGGCTATTTAAATAGAAAGTACAATTCAAAGTGTAATTCCTACAGCCCCACCAGCCACATTTCAAGTGCCAGGTGGGACTAGTGGCTGCCAAAGCAGATGGGTACAAGCTCTGGGAAGAGCAGGGGTTCCTGGCATGTGCCTGGCATCAGGCTGGGGACACAGACCAAGTAAAATGGGAACCTCCTGGCCAGTGTTCCCAAGAATACACAGTCACAGGCCCACCTCCTTGGCACCATAAGGAGCTTTATGGGAATGTGGCTGTGCACCGCTCCAGCTAGTCCAGTGCCAGGCTAAATATAGTGATGCTGGGAATGTTTTAGACCTGCCCGTCACAGGAAGCTGCGAGCTTCGTGGGCTCTTCCTCACGTGAACTGTGGCTAGAGCTGCCTGCTTAGCATCACCTGTGTGCCACGCTGCCACAGGAGAGCGTGGGTTTGGCCTCTGGCTAGCAGAGGCAGTGCCCGTGGGCCTTGCTGACGGATTCACTGTCCTCGTGATGAATGCCAAGAAGCTCCCCAGAGGTGTCTGGCCCAGAGCAAACTCTAAAATCCTGGAGAAATGTCCTGATTCAGGGAGGATGATCATTAATAAAGGAAAACAATGTAAACGTTGAGGATGGGAGTTCTGTCTGACAGGGAGGCTGGTGTTCCCATTTTGCAGAGGAGAAAATCAAGGCCCAGAGAAACCAGTTTCCCAAAGGCAGGAAGAACAGGTCCAGGTGTCACTGACCTGCTTCCACCCTGGCCCTGACACTCCCCTGCTTGTTGGGCAAATAGGTGAGTAGGAGACCCGAGCCTCAAAGCCCCCCTCAGGGTCCTGCTGTTCCAGGCTGCTGCCTCCTGGGGCAGCCAGTGACGGATTCCCCAGCTGGGCCTCCCAGCAGCAAGGCCCCTGGGGAGCCTTCCCCAATTCGCCCTGGCTCGTTAATGCGCAATTTACTGGCACTTTAATGCACTCAGCATGAAAAGCGCTGCTCCCTCCTGCCTGCTAGCTGGCCCTCCCTGGGGAGAGCTGTTCAGAAGGAGGTGGGGAGCAGGGGGGCTGCTGCTGCTTGGGATTTTAAGTTCACAGCGAGGAGTCTGGGAAAACAAGGAGGGTGAGACAGGAGAGGTGGAGGTAGTCTGTGCAAGACAGCTAAGGAGCAAAGCCTGAGGCCTTCTGGGCTGGGGTGGAGGGGCCCTCCTAGATTGAACAGCAACAGAAGTGGCTCATCTGGGGGCCTTGCCCCCGGTTGCTTGATACTCAGCGAGTACGGTTAGGTTATTCTCCAAAACACATACACCATTGTTCATTTCCTCCCACCGAACTGCTCTAAGTGACCAGTGTACCAGACCTGAAATTCCCAACTGGTTCCCCCAGCACCACCCTCCCCACAACCACCACCAGAGGGCACCATCGAGCACCTGACTCATGGGGCTGCCCACAGCCTTCCAGGGCCCCCACCTCACTGGGGTAAAGAGCCCAAGTCCTCCCCATCGCATCAGACCCTGCCCCTCACTTCCTCCCACCCTACCCTTCCTCACTCTGCGGCACCCACACAGGCCTCCCAGCTGGTCCTCCAACACATCAGGCACGGTCCTGCCCCAGGGCCTTTGCATGTGCTGTGCCTGCTGCCTGGTCCACTCCTCATCCCAGGCAGCTACACTCCCTCTGATGTACTTCAAGAGTTTGCGCGAATGTCAGCTTCTCAGTGGGTGTTCACTGACCACCCTGCCTTGCAACCCACTCCCACTCTGACTCCCACCCTTCCCTTGGGGCTGCTCTCATGCAGCCCCACCTTACACAGCCCTCGCCACCAACACCTGTTTCCTAAGCTCCACTCTCCCCATGGATAGGGGCTATTTCCTTGAACAACACTTGGCAAGCAGGCGATGGATAAGTATCTGTTGAATGAATAACCATGTTCTGGTGGTTTCCCGGGCCCCCCTCACTCTGGATCTGTCTTCTCCCTGTTCCCTGAGCTGCTCACTCCAGGCCCTGTTAAGTTGCAGACATGGCCCTGGCACCCTGCCAGTCACAGCTGGCACTGGCAGAAAGTCCTGCCAGCACCCAGGAGAAAGGGCCAGGTGGCAGGAGGACAGGCAGGGATGGAAGACGTGCTTCAGCTTGGGCAAGGCGCTGGGGCCAGGAGGCCGTAGCCTGGGCCTCAGAACAGACCTGCCCCCTGCCGGAGTGTGGTCTGTGCCCTTGAGAACTTGCAATAGTCTGGCGTGGGGAGCACAGAACAGGTGCTTATGAGCTGAAGTAATTAACCTGCAAAGTGCTGAAGCAGGCCCTGGCCTCATCCCAGCCATGCAAGGGCACTGAAGCTGCCCCGGAAGGAGGAGACTCAGGAGAGATCACGCCCAGGTGTAGGGGACCCACTGACATTCTGGAGCCAGTCCTGGAGCCAGCCCCTCCCAACCCACAGCTCTTCAGAGCCCCCGCCTTACTGGGGTTGAAGCCCAAGTACTCCCCATACCCAGCAGGCTCTTCCCGGTCTCCTCCCTGCCTTCAGCTTCTCCCATATCCCAACTTCTGCTCACTCACCTGTTTATGATATTCCTGGAGATCCTGCAGAATCTTCTGGAGCTGCAAAGGAACAACAGGATCACACTGGAGTAGTCGATGGCAGCGGGGAAAGGTCTGGGATGGAAAGCTGTGTGTACTTCTCCCTAGCTATGTTTCCAGGGCAAGCAGCTCTACCTCTCTGGTGCCTCCTCTCATCAAATGGGATGCACATACCATGTAGGGAGGGCACCCTTGGATTTCATTCTCCAAGTGAAGGTCAGAGGCTTCTCTGCAGCCAACATAGCCCTGCATGACCTTCCCCCATCACTCTGCTCTAACCACATAGGTCTCCTCGCTGCTCTTCACAAACATGCCAGAGACGGGCCTGCCCCAGGGTCTTGGCACATGCTATTCCTACTGCCTAGAATCCTCTTCCCTGTTCTCTCCAGGGGTTGTAAGAGCTCCTTATCTTCCATGTTTCACTGGTGAACATCACATCCTCTGAGAAGCTTCCTGACTACCTTATCTCAAAATCTTTACTGCTTTCACCCCAACTTCTATTTTCTTCGTAGTGCTTACATTTTGTAAATCTTGTTTCTCTGTATTTTGTTACCTTCCCCCACCCCGAACTGTCCTATCCAGTAATGTAGTCACACCAGTCCGACGTGGCTATTTAAATTAAATCAAGTTAAAATTCACTTCCTTACAAGTGTATTGGACAATGTTGATACAGAACATTCCCAGTATTTCAGAAAATTCTAGAAGGTCATACCACACTAGGAAATACACTCCTCCAGGGCAGGCACTCCAGGCATGCAAAATATCCCTGAAGGACGAACCCAGGACCAAAGAAACATCTTTATGTATGGAATTTATGGTTTTTGCAGAAGATTAGTATGAAGAAAAATTCACATGAAGAAGGTAGGGTTCAACGGGTTAACTAATTCCCCTAAAGTAAGTAAAAGTAAGTAGAGGAGAGGTGTCCCCAAACCAGGTTCCTGTGACCAAAACCAGAACAGGATGGGGAGGGGCTGCCCAGAGAGGCTGCTGGTGGGGCTCACCAAGTGGTCCATGTTCTCCAACTGTGCTTGCAAATGTTCTGGAAGCCTGAGTGGGGGGGAGGGGAGGGAGACCAGCTGGAGAGGTTTGGATACCCCTGGTGGGAGCCCCACCCCCAGCCTGGACAAGGGATCAGCAAATGAAGCATTCCATTTACATTTACGGTGATATCAAAAGGAATTGGATTTTAATGCAGTCATTTTTAAATATATAATTTAATGCAAACAGAGTCATGCTGAATAACTGAAACATTTAAATAAAGGCCAGGACCACTTTCCCCTTGGCTTTAGCCTCCAGGATGGTTCTCCCTGATATGCACCCTGCCTTTGCACCAAAGGCTTCAGGGCCACTGGGAGACCAGATGGGATCTTTTCCCTCAATGGAGTCTGGAACCTCCAGCCGCCCTGAGGAATCACCCTCACCTGGGGAATTGCTTCTTGAGTTGATCCAGAAAGCCTTGAGAGTTCAGAGCTGGAGGGCTGGCCCCATTGTGAGCCTGGAAAAGCCAAAGAGGGGAAGGAGGGAGATAACCCCCAAACTTGGCAACACCTCCCTTCTGAGAGCTCCGATGAGCCCCAAAGGGGTTGGGTTGGCTCTCCTAAAACCTGAAGGTTTGCTTGCTTTCTCATTACTTAAGCACCTAGAATATCCTCCATTTTGCATCTTAGACTAAAGTCTAAAATATTCACTCTGACCCTTTACAGAAAAACTGTGCACACGCCTAACAAAAACTGTTAGAAACAGTCCCTTCTGAGAAGATCTGGGGGTGGGGTCGCTTGGAACATTAACTGAGTAGATGATGTAGTCATGTGTTTCTTCACCTGGGTGATAAGGCGTTTAATTAAAGAAAGTACCTTGGCACCTGTCAGGAGGCACGATGGGTTAAGTGCCCCAGCCAAAAGGCTTGGCCAACACACTCACCCTGTGTCCCTCCAGAAGGAGCAGGAGAGCTGGATTTGAGCCCAACCCCAGGCTCTCTCTCCACCTTTGCCCCAGGAACGAATGCCACACCATGCCCTCCTCACCAAAGCTCCTGGGGGCTTTGCCATCCCTTGAGGCTGCTCCTGGGGACTGAGACGGCCCCTGGAGGTCATCTTCAGGCAGTGGTCACAGGGTTTTAGCCAGACTCTAAAAGTAACGAGGAGAGGGCAGGTCCTGAGGCAGAAGGCCAGGAGGCGGCAGGGACAGGACCCGCCTCCACCCACTCAACTTGGTCTCCCCTCCAGGACCCAGTCCTGGGCCCCCAGCCCCCTCTGAGCTCCGGCGTCCCACTGCACTTCGTGCATCCTTCATTCATTCATGAAACACGCTGGTGCCTCCAGCTGCATGAATGGCGGGGGCTCCAGGGACCTCGGCCTATGGGACAAGGTGCCGGACAGGTACCACGGCGGGTCAGGAGCAGCGAGGGCTGGACGGGGATGCCTGAGCGCAACCTGAGCTTTGAGACGGTTCCCTAAAACGCAGGAGAGCATGGCTGGAAAGGGTTTTGAAGGATAAGTAAGAGCTGGCCAGGTGAATCGGGAGGCATTTATCAGACAGGAAGAAAAAAAGAGTTCTCTTTCCACGCTCACCGCGGCTGCAGCTGCAAGCCCCTTCTCCAGCGCCTCTGCTCTCGCCGCCTCTCCAGCCGCGGCCCCAGCCCCGCGCCCCTGCAGCCCCCGCGCCCCCCACCCGGCAGCCCGCCGTGCGCCCACCCACCTCCCGAGGAGGGCGGCCCCGAGGAGCGAGGGGAAGCGGCGCAGGGTCAGCCAAGTTCAGGTCAAGAGACACCACCCCTCACGCCCAGGCGGGGCGGGGGGACATTTGACCTCTCTGGCCCCGCCCCGCCCCGCCGCTCCCCCCGCCCCGCCGCGGCCGGCACCGCGAAGCCGATCAATGAACAAGCGGCAGCTGCACGTGGGCTCGGGCTCAGCCGGCGGCCGGCGGGGGCGCTGTCCAATCGCGAGGCCGTCTGCCCACGTGGGCAGCGGATCTCGTCGCTGATTGGCTGTTTTTTCCAGGCCTGTGGCCCGGCTGTCAATCAGTGCGCGAGACACAACTGCTTAACCCTTGCGGTCCCGCTGCGGGGAAGGCGGGCTGCAGAGCAGCGGGCAGGCGAGGGGGCAAGGCGAGGATATTCAGAAGGGCTGGAGGCTGATATTCTGAGGGTGCAGCTTGGAAGAGGGGCTGGGCCGTGTGGTGGTGTTTTGTTTGGTGAGAAACTCCGGAATGCTTAGCCTTGCCTGCAGGGGCCAAGCGGTGCAGGTGGGGCTGCCAAGGGGAGGGAGGTCCACAGCGCTCGCCCATCTTTAGAGCTGGGCCAATAACTTTTCCTCAGTGCTAATGCAAAGGAAGCTTTGAGCCGCCTTTTTGGGGGAAAACCGAACTGCTCCCTTTTATCCGGCTCTTCTAAGAGTCAAGCCTCAGGCTACGCATTTTATCAATGAAATCCCCAACTGCCTCCTAGCCCAGCAACTGAGGATCTGAGCGTCCCAAGCGGGAACTGCGAAGCCCTTGAAGCTGGTAAAGTTTTTCCAGGTTCAAGGCCAGGGTGGGAAGGAGCGGTGGGTATTGCAGGTCTGGGCTGAAGTCAGGAGGATAAACGGTGGAGCGGTGGCAGCGGGTGTAGGGAATCGAGCTCTCTTTTTGAGCTTTGAAATATCTACTCAAGAAGTGAAGTGGTCAGCCTGGGGTTTTGAGAGGCAGAGTTTCTGCCTGCCCCAGGACCTTTGCACTGGCGATTCCCTCCTGGCATGGACAGCCAGCCTCCCCCCTGACAGTCACTAGCTGGTTCCTTCAACCTTCAGCTCTGTTCCCAACACCTCTCTTCCTCATCTCCCTTTCTTCGCTTACTTTTCTCCCAATGTGGTTTGAATTGGAGCTAATCTTGTAATCCCAGTGGCTCTAAGCCCTGCTGTGTTTGTAATTCATATAGGGGGAAATGAGGGTTTAGCTGTTGGTCTGCGTGGACCCCCAGAGGATCTGATGTAAACACATAACTTGGGTTTTGTGGTTGGTCTACAGAGGCGGATGTGAGGCTACTGGGTATGAGCCGCAGAAAAGGTTTCCGCCCATGATCCCTCAACTGACCCTTAATTGAAGTGTATTTTATTTATGGGCCAGCCTGCTAATTGCCTCCCTCTGTGCACTTGGCTCTCCTCCCCTGTGTGGTTGTAAACTTTCAACTTGGTGCACCAGTTTCTCCAAGGCTGTCTTGTCTCACATCTACCGGGTACCTGTGGCGAATCATATGAAAATGAATCAAAACTAAGGAATATGAAAAAGCCAGTTCCTCAGGAGCAACGGCCACATGTCAAGTGCTCAGTAGCCACACGTGGTTGGGGTCGGAATCCTCACTGGTCAACACAGATCTGAGTTTCTTCCAAAAGTAAAAGTCCTCAGTTCATGTAGAAATCAGAAACATTTAGAGCGGCGATTCCACTTCCAGTTGTTGGAACCCCCCACGTGTGGAGGTGGGGTACAAGTTGGCATGATGGCTGGGGTCCTGGTGTCCTGTCTGTAGATGGATGACCCCCTGGGCCTGGATCCTGGTGTCCTGTCTGTAGATGGATGACCAAGAGGCATTTATTGTCTCCTGCTGGCTCCAGCCTGGCCAGGAGGGACACCGCCTTCCTTACACCCTGAAGAGGTGGGTGGATGAGCTGCAGACAGGGAGGGAGGAAGCCACACTTCCTTCCTGGCTTCTGAGTGGGGTAGTTTACTGGGAAAGCCCAAAGTCTGGGTGCAACTTTGAAAGAAAAAGAGGTTTGCATTCCAAAGGCTTGGAAATTCCCTGGGCCTGCCTGGAAGACCTCAGCCCCATCTGCAGTCACAGATGCCAAGGTGACCTGGGTGGAGGGTGGACCCTGCAGAGGGCTCCTGAGAAAGCCCAGGTGCAAAGGGGGCTGGGGTGCAGGAGGTGACAGCAAGGAGGTAGTGACAGATTTCAGTCCCCCTCTCAGTTCTCTTCCCCCATCCCTAGGGCTGCCAAGCGGCCCACGTGGGCAAGAGACAATAGGACAGAAGTGACCAAGAAGCTGCAGAACACCTTGCACAGGAGTGCCCTGGTGCCCACCACCAAGTGACAGAGAGGCAGGAAGGGACCTTCCGCAGCTGCTGGCTGGAGGTGCTCAAGGGCAGATGCCCCCCAGCCACCCCCATGCTACAGAACCTCCATGCCGCAGAACCTCCTTGAACTGAGGCCTATATCCAGGAAAAGTCAATTTATTGAATTACCCAGAATCAGAATCGACTGAGGTTTGCCTTCTGCCATCTGGTGGAGAAAGGCTGGTGCTTGGTTTCCCCGGACGGCTGGGATAAATGGCCACAAACCTGGAGGCTTCAAAGAACAGGAGGCTATTCTCGCCCAGCTCTGGAGGCCAGAAGTCCAATGTCAAGGTGTGGACAGGGCCATGCTCTCTCTGGAGGCCCACGGGAGAATTCCTGCTGCCTCTTCTGGCTTCCGGGCCCTCCAGCAATCCTGGGTGTCCTTTGGTTTGGGGACACAACACTGTGGTCTCTAACTTTGTCTTTGGGCGTCTGTCTCCTGTGTCTCCTCCTATAAGGACACCAGTCACTGGCTTCAGGGCCACCCTACTGCACAGTATGAACTCCTCTTGTTATAGGACAGCCCCGTTCTTAGGACATCCTTTTCCCCCTAACACTCTCACTTAGTTACCTCTGCAATGACCCTATTGCCAAATAAGATCCCGTTCCCATGGACCAGGACTCGGACTTGAGTGTGCCTTTTTGAAGGACACAGTCCTGCCATGGGACTCAAAAGAGAAATTAACTACGCAACCCATTTAATCCTCTTGGCCTACTGATATCCCCATTTTACAGAGGAGAAAACTGAGGCCCAGACAGGTTAACTGTCCTTCCTGAGGGTCACACAGTTACTAAGCAGCTAACGTGGGGTTGGTTCATACCAGGCCGCCTTGCTCTGAGGTCAATGTTCATAATTTTTTTTTTTTTAAGATTTATTTGTTTATGTATACAAGCACTGGGTATAGCCAGAAGGGCGGGAGGGTGAGAGAATTCACCAAAGCCAGAGTGGGAAACAGAACAGGCAGACCGACGAAGTACACTGCTGAGGGGAGCAGCGGGTGCTGCAGGAGAGGTCTGCACGCCATGTGGGACCCTCGCCAGTGGCCGGGGACTGAACTGGCGCTGCAGAGGCTGCGGGCAGCCTCGCAGCCCGGAACTCGCTCAACCGCTGCGCCACCAGGGAGGCCCAGTGTTCATAATTCTTACACCATAGTGGCCAGGTTTAAATTAGCTTCCTGCCATGGAACAGGGTGGCACTTGGTTCGCCCACCCTGAGGGCCCAAGGACCCAAGTTTGGAGGAAGGTGCACCCATCCATAAGTGGGTCTCTTGGACCTGGCTTTCTCATTTTTTTTTTTTAAGATTTTATTTATTTTGTATAGAAGAACTGGGGTATAGGTCAGAGGTGTGGGGGGGCTAGAGGGACCCACCAGAGACAGAGCGGGGAGCAGAACAGGCAGACGGACCAAAGACACTGCTGAGGGGAGCAGCAGACGAGACAGGAGAAGTCTGCTGTGCCATGTGGGTCAGCTCCCTGGCCGGGGATCGAACTCAGGCCACAGCATGGATAGTGCTGAAACTTCACCCCTAGGCCACTAGGAGGCCAGGCGCTCTCACTTCTAAGGAAATCAGATGTATTTTATGGCTACTGCTTCATAACAAATTGCCCCCAAGCTTATGGCTGGAAACAACAAACACTGCTCATCTCACAGTGTCTGGAGGTCTGGGACTGGGTGGCTCCACCGAGTCTCTGATGAGCTTCAGCCTTTCATTTTCTCCTCTTTCCCAGCAAACACCTCTGCTATCCAGAGCTCAATTAAAAAAATCTCTTCTTGGGCCTCCCCGGTGGCGCAGCGGTTGAGTGCTAGGTTGCGAAGCTGCCCGCGGCCTCTGCGGCGCCGGTTCGATCCCCGGCTGCTCCCCGGCCACCGGAGGAGGGTCCCACATGGCGCGCAGACCTCTCCTGCCGCCCGCTGCTCCCCTCAGCAGTGTACTTCAGTCCTTCTGCCTGCTCTGCTCCCCGCTCTGGCTCTGGCGAATTCTCTCACCCTCCCGCGCTTCTGACTGTACCCAGTGCATGTATAAACAAAACAAACAAACAAATAAATAAATAAAACATGCCTCTATAAAAAAAAAAAAAAAAAAAAAAAAAAATCTCTTCTTAAATGTTGGATCAAGGCAGTAAAACAGTGGGAGGAAGTGATGGAAAAAAATTGGAGTTCTGGAACTGGCCCTTGCCATGACTTGCTGCGTGAATTTGGCTGATTGTCACGAGCCAATGCAGCCCCCAAGGCAGTGATGGGAGGAGAGTTCATAGATGAAGAAACTGAGAGAGGACACCTGTTCACACCTGGCCAGCGGTGGGACTGGAATTCAACTCCAGGTCTTTCTGATGCAAAAGATTACTATTAAATACAAATTATAATTAACCTTCAAAAAAACAGTCTCTTGGTGAGGCCTATCACTTCCTCTTACTCATTCCTAATTGTGCTCACCATCCTGCACTGCTGATTTTAATTTCTCCTTGTCTGTCTTATGTTCTGTGTTTATGCTGAAAGGATAACTGAATGGGTGACACTTGGTTTGTCCACATGCCCCCCCTTTTTGGGTATTTGTTTTTCCTTGGATGTCTCAGTTGGTGGTGGTGGGGGGGCCCAAAGTGGCTTCACCTGCCCCCTCTTGCTCCCCAGAGGCACTGCGAGCTTCTGGACACTCTTCCTCATTGGCACTGGGCAGTGTGCTGGTGGTTCTCACT